CCTCCCTCCCCCTCCCACTCCCGGCCGGCGCCCAGCCCAGCCAGCGCCTCAAATTGCAATTCCAGCTGCAGATGTGGGAGCGAGAGGAGGAGGCAGGGCCAGCGCCGCCGGGAATGAAACCTAAACTCCCCGCTCGGCCCCCGGCTTGCCGCAGCCAAGCCGGGGGACCGTGGGCTGCCGAGGGGGGGACGTACCCCGAGGGGGATGAGGCTCCCAAAACAGCCGGGGATGGGGATGCTGGGGGGAGAGGGGAGAGACACCGACAATCCTCCACCTCTGCCGGCGCTGTCGCCCCGTTAATTTGTCTTTTCTCCCTCCCCACGCACGTTTCTCTCCCAGTTTTTGCCACTCTTTTTATCCTGGCTGAAACGTCAGACGTAGCCCCATGGCTCTCTGCGCCCGTCTTTACCTGCCGCTGGCGCGCTGCCCATCTGTCTGTCCTGCCTGTCTGTCCATCGGTCCAGACATCCAGCCACCTCCTGACTTCAGAGCCCCATTTCTCCCAGCCCCGCAGCCCCCCCGAGCCGTGCTCCTCTCCCGGTGGGGCTCCTGGCTCGGGCCGTGCCGGGGTGTCCTGAGAGCGAGAGGCAGGCGAGGGCTCCGTCCTGCGGCTCCCAAAGATCTCCGTGCCGAGAAGAAACCATCCGTGGAGGACTCAAAAGCACAGGCAGATCACTGAGATCACTGAGGATCATTGGGATCATTGGGATCATTGGGGTCATTTGGATCATTTGGATCGTTGAGATTATTGGGATCATCTCCGTGCCAAGAAGAAACCATCCGTGGAGGACTCAAAAGCACAGGCAGATCACTGAGATCACTGACGATCATTGGGATCATTGGGGTCATTTGGATCATTTGGATCGTTGAGATTATTGGGATCATTGGGATCACTGCGATCATTGAGATCACTGGGATCATTTGGATCATTGAGATCATTGGGATCGTTGAGATTATTGGGATCATTGGGATCATTGGGATCATTGGGATCATTGGGATCATGCCTCGAGATCAAGAAGCCCCTGACCTGCAGATGGCTGCAGGCTGGAAGGGTGGTCTTATTAAAAACGTGCAAAGGTATATAAAATTAAGGTACGTAAAATTAACACAGTACACGTAAATTGGATCCCAAAGGGATCATCTAGCAGGTCCTAAACTGTCACGGGGAGCGGAGGCTCCGTGCTGCTGGAGTCGTACCAGGGGAAACCTTGGTATCGTGGCTGGGACAGTCCCCGGGGGGGGCACGAAGCTGCGGGGGCCCAGCCGAGAGGCAGGACTGCGGGCAGGACGGCCTGCGAGCTGGATGCGATCAAAGGACGGGCGTGGAAAGCCCGGCGGCTGGGAACGGGCATCGGACGGAGATGCGGTGGCCTGGAGCAGGACGTGCCGAATGATCGGCTGTGACCCACAGGCTGACGCTGGTGGGGGCCGCACGGGCGGGAGCAGAGGGGCCACCGCAGCAGCACCATCCCGTGCCAGCGCCTGCCCTGCCGCGGGGACATCCAAACACCAAAGAGAGCCGGAAGGTGAATGCTGAAATGGCGCCGAGGAGCTGAGCTCCGAGTCCCTCCCGGGGGCTCAGGTCTCTGAAGCGGAGATGAAGTTGCTGGGCCTTTGCTCTTCTCCCTGGGCTGGGCAGCCCAGACACCCCGGTGATGGGCCCTGGAGGGCGAGTGCAGCCTGAGGGCCACGCTCCACGCTTGCCTCCCTGGACCGTCCCCGGGGAGGGTGTTAGGGGACTCTTCCTCACGGACGTGGAAAAGGGCTGGTGTGCCAGGGGTGCCTGTAACGTGCTGGTTGTCTGTCCAGCCCCCCGCACGCCTATCGATGCTCACGCGCATCTATCCATCTCCTGACTCGCTATGCCCGTGCATCCCTCCTGCCCGCACACACGCACATTTATCTGCCTGTTCGCTGCCTGCACCCTCCCCTCCTCCTCTTGCCGTAGCATCGTCTGAGTCACTGGTCCCAGTTTAGGAACTGGGAAGAGTCTAGAAGGAGCCTGGATGTGTGCTGGGCTGGGAGGGTGTGGAGTAGGCAGCTCCTGGGGGCAGGTCAGGCAGGAGCTGGGCAAAGTACGGAATTAGGGCCAGTTGCCGTGGGTTCCTGAGCAGGCCGTGCATGCACGCATACATGCATGCACATGCATGGGCATGTAATGCGCGCGCGCACGCACACGCGTGCACATACGTGCACGCACATGTTGCATCGTGCTTCCTCCGCCATGCAGGGCAGCAGGTGCCCAGATGTCCTGGGGCTGTACTGGGGCTGTATTGGGGCTGTACTGGGGCTGGCGGGGGTCGGAGGTGACGGGCTGGGTGGCAGGAGCAGGGAGGTCTCGGTCCCCCCCTGGAGCCCTGCCCTGCATTGCTGCCCCGGAGCCCGGGAAGCTTCTGGAGGGAGGAGGGGAAGAGAGGGGCGGAGGGGGCTACGCCTGTGTTTTCTTCCCTGGCGCCTCGTCAAGAGATGAGGTAGCGCTTTCCGGTAATTGAGGCAAGGCCCATGGAAATGCCTCGGTGAGACAGGAAGCCCGGGAGGAGAACGGAGAACCGGAGCTGGGAAGCGAGCACCGGACCCTGGCCAGGACGCAAAGCCTGTGCTCTGCCGGGAGGGGGGGGGAAACAAACCCCAGGCCCCCACGCCGCCCTGCTGCTCCCAGGGCCGGGCCGGGCTGGTGTGTCCCCCACGCCGGCACCCCCTGCTGCTCCCAGGGCCGGCATCGGTGCCCCCTCCCCGGGAGCTGGGGCAGCCGCCGGCCGGGCGCAGCCCTGCGGGCGCGCCGGCAGCCTGTCCCCTCCTGCCCAGTTCACCCAGTTTGCTCCTCCGAAGGCAGGCAGCATCTCCCGGGACGAGCGAAGCAGAGAGCTGGTCATTCCTGTGCCAGGACCTGCAGCGCGAGGAGGGCGATCTTCATCGTCGTCATCATCATCACCACCATCATCATCATCTCCCATCGCCAGGCATCACCGCACGGGGATGGGGGAGCGGGATGGCGAGGCGGGCAGCAGGGCCGGTGCAAACGGGGGCGAAGGAAGTTGCCACGAACCAGACCAAGGTCAGCACGACCTTGATGCCAAGGGGGTCCCACGGGGAAGGGGGTGCTGTCGCCCGTGGCCTCCCCCCCCCCCCCCCCCCCTCCCCGGCGCCCCAGCAGGGAGGGAGCACACCCAGCCTGGGAAGGGCCAGCTCGCTTCCTTCTCACAGCACAGCCCGTGCTTGCAGCCAGCAGGAAGGGCTCTGGCCAAGGGCAGAGCAGCCGGCGGGGCCAGGGCTTGCAGGAGGCCGTGGTGATGGCGGCCAGGCGGGGTGGGTACCAGCCAATTTACGAATTGTCCCGTTGTTGGCCGTCCCACCTGTCCCCGCTGTTCCTTGCAGAGCTGCAGCCCCTTTTGGGTTGCTTTGGGTCCCTCCGAGGTCCTGCCCCGGCCAGTGTCGCCCCGTGCCCCATCTCACCGCATTCTTGTACCGTGCTGAGGTGGCCGAGTGCTGCCCCGGCGGGGGCTTTTCGGGTTGCCGGCCCCCGCTCTGGCTTCCTACGGAAACCACGGGAAGACGGAAAGCACCGGAGTGCAGGGGCTATCTGTGGTCATTGTGCACATGGTTTGGGACAGGCTGTCAGCAAACAGCTGCCAGCAAACAGCTCGTGCCTCAGTTTCCCCATTTTCCCCATGCCGGAGGTTTCAGGGAGGGCTGCACTGGGCAGGGGGTGCAGAAACCTGGCTCTCACCAGCTGACCCCCGCAAAGCTGCCTGCGGCTGCCCCGCAAACACCCCTCCCCCCCCGCCGGGGGCCATAGGGGCTGCTGAGCGGGGCTCGGGGTGCAGGTGGGGACGAGCCGGCTCGCGGCTCCAGTATTTTGCTGGGTGACCAGACAGCCACCAGCCAACGTGCCGTCACCGTGCCTGGCTGCTGGATCTGGTCCCAAAGTGGTAACGTCCCGCCCGCCCTCTCCGAGGATGCCAGGAGCCCTGCAGGCCCCAGGCATTTGGTCTCAAGGAAACGATGGGGGGCTGTGACCCCCCCCCCGGCCGTGATCCATGCGGTCCAGTCGTGATCCCCCTGGCCGTAATCCGCCCAGCTCTCCGGCGCGGGGCTGATGCTGGGAGGAGGGCAGCCCCGCACGCAGTCTTGCACACACGCATACACACTCTTGCACACACAGAGACACACATGCGCTCTTGCACGTATACACACACGTTCTTGCACACACACACAC